AACTTCAACTTCACCTCCTCCACCAATGAGAGATCCATCAGGAGATTCCGAAAATTCGACGAACATGAAGCTATTCCGCTGTCGCAGTAGACGTCAGCCCACGCTGCAATATATTTATGGAGCTTGGATTTCCACATTCGAGAAACAACTGCATTTCACACGTTCGAGATACCTATTTTACAAAACAAGGACTCACTACAGAATGAAATGGTATTACGAGTGTTGCTTTGAAGTAAGTGAGTAACAAGTAGCATTGGGTAGCAGCATGTCTTCTCACAGGAAGGGATTGTTTTACCTAATCAACCAACAGCCTCTTTACTTCTAGTGTCTGACGCCCTGCGAACGTCCTTGGTGGGCGTGCGCAGCGAGACTCGAAAGGACCCATCAGTGCGATCCCATCCTCAGAATAGCTAGACATAGAAACAATCGCCATCTTTACAAGTCAGAAATGAGCTAGAAAGTGAACAGTACAGTAATATGGAGGGAATGCCCATTGGCCTAGATAACAATCTATGGGACCACAAGGCTTTGTGGATACCCAGGCCGTGAGGCAAACGAAATGATACTCAGTGCTGCTGCGCTTATTACATCGTTAAGTTCATCAAGCGTGTTCATCAGCTACCGCTGCGAATATGCATGGAATTCAGGCGGTGACAGAATGTTTGGAAAAGCTAGTAAGAAAAACCATCGAGTTTGCACCTGCAACTATAAGGAATCTCACATAAAATGTGTACAGCTTGAAACCAGTAGCATCACAATCATCTCGGGAAAATTTTGGGAAGGAGCCAATACAAGCGCGAAGTCACCTTTTTAAAATTCACCATTCTAGGCATGGCGAGGGTGGCGCACCCACTGAATGAGCGGAGTCGTACTCCTTAGAAACGCGTCAAGTTCGAATCGAGTTCTCCCTGTAGACCCCTTGAAAGGCATATTCTGTGATTTTTTTATAGGAATGAATATCAATAATTTGTCTGTTTGTTTGTTTGTAAGTTTGTGTTTGTAAGTTTGTCTGTCCGGAAATTCGGTTCGACCTGAAGAACGACTTGGAGAGGTCCAGTCAAGGTGGGGATAGGTAGGGCATGGGACAAGAAATAAAAAGCACACTTGACCTATGGCAAGCCCCGCCCGCAGTGGGCGGGGCACTCGCCGAAAGTTTGGGGCGCAGGAAAATGTTCATAATTCGCTTCCGGAGCAGCTTAAAGATGGGGGGGGGGAAAGGGACC